ACTCTTGAAGGGGCTCAGGAAAATGCTAATTTTTTTCGCAAACTCCTATTGCAAAAATCTTTGGATAAAAACTCATCATTTGAATCCAATATCATACCTCTATAAATTTCATCGGGATCCCATGCTCTAAAGATGAAATCCAGCATACTAAAAAATCCTGGATCCGCCACTACCAAGTCTATTTTTTTCGAAATTTTGATTTGATTTAAATATGTGTATAGTTTCTAAAAATTACACGATTTACTAGTCTTTGCTTACAAGGGTTCATATTCTACATAATTGTCAAGAATATAGTTCAAAATTCACGCAATAATAATCAGTCGGATTTTGCGATCATGATGAAGAGAAACTTAGAAATAATCAAAAACAATTAGTTTTTTCATGACTTTAATAATGAATCGACAATTCTCAAATCGAGGAGAATCGTACATTTCACGACACGCACCATATTTAAAAGTTTTTCCTTGAAAATCGAATGTCTGTAATTGAAAAAAGCGTAATCTTTTTTTATATGTAGTATATTTCATTTTGATCCACTAGTGATGGGCCGAAACATCTTCGAACATAGCGAAATGATATATTTCATTATACGTAAGAAGGAAAGAAAGAAAAAAATTCTTACGTTACTGACGTTCATTTTTGTCTATTCTTTCAGATAAACTCGACTATAACATATATATTCTTTCGTCCTCTCGTGAATTTTTTTTCTCTTCCTTCCAATATGACGTTATAACGCGTTGTTACGTAATAGTCGCATATTATAGGACTATTGCTAAACGACTATAAACGACACATGTAGTTATTACGTCCGTGGACGGTAACGTAATAAGCATAGTCTTTCGTTTTTATCGTTATCATATTAATGTATCATTATCAGACATAACATAAGAAAGTTGCCAGTTTTAAGTAAACGCTAGATTCTGATGGCGATCATCTTTGATTTTTGTCTTAAAAAGTAACCAACAAATGAATTATAGCATTCTATGCTGCTGATGCACCTATTCTCACGCCACTTTTCTAGATAATTACATGTTGAATAGAAAAAATTTTATGTCCGAGCTATAAACATGATAAAAATATTTCATAGGATAATTCTTTTATTGTGAGGTAAGAAATGATTGAATTCCATCGTTTACGTCATCATCTATGCGATTTACATAAAGAACTATTGAAGTTAATCAACTAATATATTACTTAAAACTAGAAAATTGATAAATACTTTTTCTGATAGTAATCTATGAATATTTCCTTCTTTATTTCTAGACATATATACAAATAATATTTTTTTGGATTATGTCAAATTCAGATGTAAATAATTCTCGTTTAACATCAATGAATACTAATTCTTCATCTTCATCAATAATTAATTCAACACCAACGTCACCATCAACCAGTTCAATATGTTCTACTTCAACATCATCTTTATCAATAACACCAAGAAGAATTGTTAAAGCTAAGCGTAGCTTAGTATGGAGATATTTCAAGGATATGAAAGATGATGTGTTAAATGTTGAATGTGTTTTATGTTCAAGTGTTATTACTCGTAAATCAACATCAACGTCCAATTTATTACATCACATACAAACACAACACAATGTCGAGTATCAACATTTGAATAAAGTTATGAAATCACAAACTCAAACTTCTGATTCAACAACAAGATTACCATTAACAAGTGATCGATCTATTCATTTAACTAAATTAATTGCTGATTTAATCATTTACAACTTTCTTCCTTTATCAATAGTTGAAAGTCCTCATCTGCAAGCAATTCTTGCAGAAACTGAACCATCATATATAATTCCTAGACGAAAATATTTTACTAATAATGTTTTACAAGAAATGTATAATGAAGTTCAACAGAAAGCTTATGAAGAATTACAACAAGCACCTGGTAACAAATTCTATACCTCAGATGATGTAGAAATTGTCTGTTTCTAATGTTTTAGGTATTTGTTTAACAACTGATATTTGGACTTCTCAAGCTAATCAAGCTTATATGACAATTACAGCACATTTTATTGGTTTAAAAAATAAAAAAATAAAAATTTTGTATTAGAAACAAAAGAATTTACAGAAAATCGTACAGCTGAACGTATTGTAGAACGTTTAGAAAGTATTTGTGATAAATGGTCAATTAGTGATAAAATTATTTGTTTAGTATCTGATACTTGTCCTACTATGAGAAAAGTAGGAGTTGAATTTGGAAAAGGTTTGATTCTACTTATAATTTGACACTTATAATAGTTATTAATTTATATATAGGATGGATTGGATGCACTGATTATCTTGTTAATTTATCTGTTAATGATATCATTCGAAAACAAGATGAAGTAATAAATATGCTTTCTACAATTCGATACATTGTTACGTATACAAGAGACAGTCATTTAGCAAATGAAATGTTAAATAAATATCAACGATCATTTGGTAAAAAAATCCCAAATTTTATTTCATCTTTAACTGTTACGAAATTGAATCTTTGCAGGTTTTATTGAACGTCAATTGATTTTCGATGTTATTACTCGATGGAATAGTACTTTATATATGCTCCAAAGGTTTATTGAAGAAAAAATTTGTGTAGCAGCATGTCTAAATGAAAAATTGTTTCAAAAACATTTTACCAATGCTAAAGTGTCGAAGGTGATAGACTGGGATGTGTTGGAACAATTAATGGTTAGATGCTTTACTATTAAAATGTAAGCTGTGTAAAATTTTTTTTTGAATTTTAGGTTATATTAGAACCTTTTGAAGCAGCTACACGAAAACTTGCATCTGATTCATCACCAACATTATCAATTGTTTTACCTGTTGTTACAACTTTAATTACAAGTCTTGAAGATCGATCTACTGATTCTTCTTTCATAAAGAAAATTAAAGATGCTTTTCGTGGTAGTATTCAGGAACGATTTAAAGAAATCTACGAAAATAAATTAGTATGTAGAGAAATAAATAGATAAATATTATATAAGAGAATTTCTAAGTGCTACTATGTACAGTATTGGATCCTCGTTGGAAAGATTTTACATTTCTTCAACGTCCATCTTATCAGAATCATGTTGAAACATTATCATTATTAAATAAGCTTCAGGCATTTGAAGCGAAGCAACTTGCATATTTATATTTACAAGAACAATATAATAGTTTACTTGGAAACAACTTAGCTGTACCACCAGTTAATACTCAACAGAATGAAGAAAAAGAAAAAGAATTCGATTTATTTGACATAATGATAACAAATCGAAACAATACATCATCTAATAATCGAGATTCTGAATTGTTGATATATGAAAATGAACGAGAAATACATCGAAATGAAAGTCCTCTTGAATGGTGGTATGCTAATCAAACAAAATATCCTATATTATCACAATTAGCTGATAAATATTTGTGTATATCAGGAACAAGTGTACCTTCAGAGAGAATGTTCTCAGCAACAGGTCATTTAACTTCAGATAGGCGCTCAAGATTAACACCTGAGAATGCTGATATTTTGTTGTTTTTGAATAAAAACAGATAAAAAATTTTGTTTATTAAATGATATATATGTTGCAGGACAGATTGAAATTCAGTTCAGATTAAAATCATTTTGATCTGTCCTAGTTCATTTTAAAATAATTTTAATCTCCAGTAGGAAAATTTCAAAGTGTACTAGTTCAGATCGCAATAATTTTAATCTGAACTGAATTTCAATCTGTCCTGCAACATATATATTTATATAAGTATTTATATTTTTTGTTCTTCTTTTATATTGTTCTGCTATTTGGACTTGTTTAAATAAATTTATGAAATTATAAATATATAGTTATACTCTCAAGATATACAAGATACCTAATTACTATCATTTTTGGTTATGTGATAAGTTCAAAACATATTACATCTCAAACTACATTGTATAATCGTTTATTTCCTTTTGCTTTCATACTCGATATGTATCATAACGCGTGAGAAACGTCTTACGTTCATTACGGCGTTATTTATAAGAATTCTTTTACATTCTGCCGTTTCTTTTACGTCTATATACGTCTATATCACGACTATTCTTTTTTTTTCTGTCACGACTTATGACGAAATGAAAATGAAGGTATACCGCTTCTTACGTCTTACGGCCCATCACTATTGTCCACCAAATACAAAAACGTAAGACAAAGCATTAAAAATGCTTCGTCTGTTACCAACTTTTACATACATATGTAAACTTATCAAGTATTTGATTGGACATGTGTTTATGACTTTTACATCATTCTAATTTTTCCTTTAATATTTATATTGTATCGAAAGAAAGACCCAGTAATATACATGAAGAGCACTTGTACATGTATATGTTAACTACTGTATGAGCATCTATGTAAAGCGATCAAGTGACATATGTCTATGCCCCCTTGTAATTTTACACAGAGGAATGTATTCCCAGCTGTTACATTAACATTTCAACTAACTACAGTCTTTTTCATTAAGTTGTTCTCAAGTTTCATTCGACGATTTCTTCAAATGATGGTTTAAGAATAAGGTATATCCTTTTCATGAACGAATAATCAAGATTTTTAGTCTTTTACACTTTTTCTACGAACGAAGTACAATATTCTTAGCTTTTATTCAGAATGAATTTTTATCTCAAGATAATTGTATATTTATCATTGTCTTCATTATTCATTCATTATTATATCTATTTATAGTCGAGCGATCACTGAAACATTATTTTTTCTTTTCTTTCTGTTTTAATGTTCTGTTTTCTCTATATCTAAATTATCTGATTAGTTTATTCCAATTGGTCGATGATAATGTTTGTCTTCAAACAAAGAACATTAATCGAGAAGGAAGAAGAAAATAAACTCGATTTATTTAAAACGGATATGATCTAGTAGTAACATATTACCCGTCTCTTTACTTAATACAACTCATAGCATGTTAAACGTAGAAACGAAAAAGTAGAATAAAAAAATCTACTCTCTGATTTTTGAGTAATTTAGACGTTTGAGAAATTTTCTTTCGAATAAATTATTTGTGTGATTTACTAGTGCGGTCTCTCTCTTCTTTCATAAATCTCCGAGTTAAATGAACACGACTTCAAGTTTTTTCAATTTATTCGGAATAGCATTGAGAATTAGATATCATAATTAAATTTTATGTTGATGAGTAATATCTAACACATACCGAGACGTCAGCCATAGAATATAGCAGTTCACTGAAAAATAGAAATCTGTTCGATGCCCTGTTTTGAATAAAATAGTGTGATATGTTTCAAGTCTATTTTAATGAATTTCTGTCTCTTAACGAGTAATTTACATTAGCGGTTGATATAAATGAAAAAGTGTCCAAACAGTCCTATAGAGAGGGTACATTGAATAAAATATAAATATTGTACGAAGAAGAGAACAAGTCAAAAGATGAGTTGAACATTTAGAATGCTTGTGATGGAGGTGTTCGTATTGTTAGTTAATAAGGTTAGATATATTCAGGCCAAATTATAGCTCTCATCATTAAACTAAGAAATTTAAAATATAGGCTTTTGCAGCCATGCGTAGACCGAGATATTCGAATTTTAGGATATTTACACCATATGAGACGTACTCATAAATCAAAATTTTATCAGATTTTTTTCTTTTTTCATCATGGTTGGATAGAGCTCGTCGAATTATACAAGAAAAAGTATGTTTCAAATTCAAAACAATTTTTACGAAAATCAAAATTCTGAGTCTATTTTCCCATATATCTGAAAATAATGTTATCTTGAACTTTTTCGTGAAATATTTGTTTATTTAATTTGAACCATACTTATTCTTATATAACTTGACCAGTTCTATCCAACTATGACGAAAAAAGAAAAAAATTCTGCTAAAATTTTGATTTATGAGAACGTTTCATATGGTGTAAATATTCTAAAATTCGAATATCTCGGTCTAGGCATGGCAACAGAAGCCTATATTTTAAATTTCTTCGTTTAATGATGAGAGCTGTAAATTGGTCCGAATATATCTAACCTTATTAACTAATAATACGAACAAATCGATTGCTAGTCAAAACATAACCATTTTAATGCGTTACATGACGCATATTTTAATGCCTCAGATGAAAAGCATTTTTTGGATTTTTTTGTGGCCGTTTTACATCATTATAATAATTACCATTTACAGGCATTTTAATGCCATTTTACCACTTTTATCCTTGTCGGGGTATTGATCTCGAAATCGATCAGAATGAAGAAGAAATATTTACTGTATAGGAACTAATGACCATTTCAGAGTTAAATGGCCGTTGGCATTTTTTGAATAAATTTGAAACAGAAAAGAGCAATAACCAGATTTTTTTGTACTATCTAGAGTCGACATTCCTCTATCTTTTTACGAAGTTGATGGAAAATTGCAGTCGCTTGTCTCTGTAGATAAGTCATGAGTTTTGAAGATGAGCTTAATTCGCTTTTGAAACAACATACCTTCTAAACTGTAATATAATGGGCAGCTAGCCTAACTTCCCCTCTATCGATCCACGTAAGACCGAGATCGATATCTGTTTGGATTCAAAAGATATAAAGATTTTTCTTAAGGCTACTCACGAAACTTTTCCAAAATCTTAGCAGCTAACTCATATTGCCTAATATCAGTTTTTAGTGATCTTCGTCTTCGTGACA